TACAAAATCGGCTTTTTAAAGTATATTATATGCAGTAATTCTATTAGATAATTAATATAAGTCATGTGAATTAAGTGTTTCCAATCTTCCAATAGAAATCTATTGGCGTTGGAAGGCTTGGAATTGGAAGAATTAGAAGATTCCAATAGCTTCCAATCTTCCAATGCACATCACAGCACTTGTGTGTGCCTAGTAAAAGTATCAAAAAAAAATGATTTCGACTATTTTGACCATTTCGGATATCCGAAATGATCTATTTCGACTTTATGTATAATGCTAATATTAGTAGGATAATAAAAACTTAACATTTATCTAAGGATCTATACTGTCTTACAATCCACATGTAAATCAAGAATGTATTTTTATTAGTAATTCAGAACTGCGTAATTACTCTTGGCTGGGTTTATTAATAAATTCTCTAAAAATGATGCCTACAGATGCCAGTGACATACTACTGTATATAGAATATTCTGCATTAAGAGATGTTACCCTCACGTGATTTTGAAAGAACATATCTTTTTAGAAAATGATTATTTATTCACGAATTTCAGGACTTTTATTTTTGGTATTATTAAACAAATCTATCACTCTTTCTGTAACTGTTATTTGCTGTAATGTCACAACTGATCCACAGCTTAACCATCCTTTTTTACCTTACTCTATTTGAATGATGAAATCAGTTATATGATTATCTATTTTATTTCTATAATATTCTGCTTTGAAGACGAGTTTATCTTGACTGGATGCATCACAAAATGCCTTTATACTAAAGAATTTTCTCAATAAAACATGATATGCCTTTTCTCTTAGATCATCACATTGGTTTTCAAGATTAATCGAAAGATGAATAAAGTTATCAATTCAAGACATATTTTTCGATTATATAATAATACTTATGAACTTCATTAACTATTAGACCTTGACAAATTAGTTTTTGCAATTCTGTATCTATTACTGTAATACTTTTGAGTTGAGTCTCATTGGCTGATGTTAAAATTGCCAATAGTGTAGATTGAATATATCTTTTATTCTTTTTACGAACTATACGTATTGTATCTAATAATTGATTGATGAATTTATTTTATTTATATTATATTTAAGTAATAAAATCACATTACTTTATTAAAATAAATCATATGGATTGCATGAAAAAAATTCATATAACTTTTATCAAGAAAAAGATTTGATCCTATCTTTTCATATAGGCTTAAAGATAAAGATATTATGTTATTCAGCTGTGTGAAATAATATACCTAGATTTGAGATGCTATTTCTTTTTTTGAACTAATGGGAGGAAAAAAATAGTACACATTGATGTTCATATAATAAGTAAACTAAATGCTATCATGTATATAAAACTAACATATAAATATTTTTATTATTTTAATATACATACACATACTTATACATTGGTTAAAAATCATAAACCTGAAATGTGAGTAAACAAAAATGCTACATTTACACAATTAATTCTAACTCACACTTTTAGTATACAAATCAACTTTTTTTTTTAGCTTTTTTAAAATCCTTTTTCACCTTATCTTCCAATTCTTTCATAATACGCTTATTTACATATAAAATTTTTAAACTAAGACTTTTACCAAGCTTTACTTTGTACTCATTTTTTGAAGAATGTTCATCTGTAATGGTAATTTGGCCATCACTTGCTTTGTATGCTGATACAGCTCCTTCTATATCATCAAGAGCCTTCACTAAACCTTCTGCATTATAACTAATTAATTTTACAATATTTGGATAACTTGATTTGATTAAAAACTGAATGTTGGATGAAAAAATAATGATTTCTGTGTCTTTTTCATTTTTAAGTCTTTTTTGTTAACAGTTTTAGAACGATGATATTTGGTAAATTTGACTAATAGATTAACAGACCATTATTTCTTTATAGACTAAAATGCTTAATTTTTAGGGATAAAGATACGCTTGGCTAAAACATATATGCTTAATTCATGCATACATGATCATGGTGTGAGAAAATTTTAAATGGCATTTTGTTGCAAATTAAGTAATTAGCATACACATTCCATCATGTGAAATATTGATTGCCAACAAATATTAGTATGATTGGGAACAGATATCGACTTCTCCGATATCTAAATTTAAGTAACATCCCCTATCATCATCCTCGTATGGTGTATCCCAATTATCTGTCTCATTATTATAGTAGTATGTTTCATCCTATTTGGCTATCTCGTCATGAATATTAGGCATTGTCGGGCAGCCGAGTCTACGCCTCTGATGTATTGGTCTGATTGGTTTTTGAAGTCACATGACTCTGATCGTTACTAATGGTAATGGTTACATGAACCTGACCATCAACATAATCTATAATATTTTGAACTTAAGTAATAGTTAATCTTGAAATATCACTTGCGCTACAAGTATTTTGTTTATGTTTTTATATTATTTAAATGCTCATTCTTTTCAAACTTTAAGATTTAGGATATTTCAATGGGAAATGCCTCCAATTCTAAAAGCACGTGAAAGTTTAATATAAAAAATTTATCTAGTAATTTTATATGGGCCCATACATGGTTTTGATATAGTGAGTAAATATAATGCTGGTCAATAATAACGTGGGAAACTCATTTTTAATTATGTTTTCGGGCCAGAATTCAACATTCGACGTACCCATATTTTCTTTGTAAATCTATTAAGAGAAAAATAAATATTATTGGATTCATATCAAGAGCTCAATCTTTCAATGTTCTTTTTAATAAAAAAAATTACAAAATCAATGGAATTATTAGGAATTAAAACTTATTTATACTGTCTTTTGTTTGATTTTATCAAATCTTGATTTGTTTGTTCAAATTGTACAGAAAGTCTTTTTCTACGTGTTTTTGCTGCCCAACTACGCCATTCTGTATAAACCACGTACGCAAAAAAGAATAAATAAAATAACAAATAAAAAGAATTTTTAAGTAAAGAAAAAAAATTTACCTTGCAAAATTTTAATTTCCAATTGTCTCTGTCTATGCAGTTGTTTCCATTTTTGTAAACATCTAAAAGACATTACAACTTTTAATATCTTAAATAATTCAAAAATAAACCATCTCTTGTATCACTTACTTGCTATACCATTCAACAAAATATTTATTTTTAAGTTGCAGATCAATTTCTTTAATTATTTTTTGTCTTTTTCTATTTACTCTTTTCCAATGTAAAAATGCGTTTCTCATTAATTTAGTATTATAATCATCCTAAATAATAATAAATTTTTTAAAAGAAAGGATTACTTTAAAAAAATAAAAATAAATTAAATAATTGATATTTGGTAATTACTTCAGCCATTTCATTTAATGATTCATAATGAATATATCTACTTCTCCATTTTTCAAAAACTCTTTCTACTAAAGTTTCTTCGGTACCTTCATCAATTATATTATAATTTTGTGATGTTGATATTAATTTATCAAAATATCTATCGTATCAAATCCAAATAAAAAAAAGATTGAGGAAGTTAAGAATAGGTATTATTTTTTCTTTTTTTTAAAATATAAAATATAAAATAAAAGGATATCCTCCACATAATAAAATATTTATATAATAATTCATCTTGATTAGCTCCATTTAATAAATTATAAATAAATTTTAATCTCCATAATTTAAACTTTTCTTTTAAAATTTCTTTATTTTTGGTTTTTGTTTTATATTTTGATAACCATCTTGTGAACAATTCATTAAGTAACCTTTCACGGCATTGATTATTATATCTTTTAGCTAATTCAAATTGATTATAAATATTATATATTCTAAATTTAAAATTACGGTTAAATAAATTTAATAAAATTGTAAATTTATGCGAAATTTAAAATCAACTAACCGACTAAACCATATGTTAAAGTAACGTCTCAACAGATTTCTTTGTTTGATAATTATAGCTTGCTCATCCATATAAGAAACTATAAGAAAATGATATTAAAGATAATAACAACATAAAAACAGATCAAATAATAAAGTAAAAAAAAAAAAAATAATACCATATTGTTTACGATGATTCCATTTAATCAAATATTTTTTCATAATAAATTCTTTACATTTCTCACTCAGAATTCGATTTCTCAATAATTGATCTTGATTTCTTATTTTCCATTTATTAAAATAATTTGTTATTAGTTTTTTTTGATGAACGTTTATAGCTAATTTCCATTGTCTTATTCCTTTTGCACGAAACGTTCGAATTTTTACTGTATATCTAGCATAAATTATTTTCATTAATAACGAATAATAAATTCAAACAGGAACTTATTCTTATTCAAATGTACCTTCTCCATTCTTTAAAATATATTCGTAGTTTCTCTTTTAATTCTTCCATTTCTTGAGGAACCTCTTTTTCACTATCGTCAACACTTTCAATACCATCCGGAATAAATTTAATATTATCAACAACATTCGTTATAGGTATCCATGTATTCTTTTTTACTATCGAAACATCACCCTACATTAATTTCATTTTAGATTCATTCAAGAAATGTATTATAAATAATTTAACATTTTTAAGAAACGTTTCGAAAACTCTGAAAATTAAAGATGGAGTCTAAAAATAAGACAATTTTGTTAAAACGTGAATAAGTGCACGTATATGACATACCTTGAGCGTATCTTCTTCAGATTTACCAACTTCTTCAATTTTGAAGATATCTCTCTTAATATGTGATTGTTTCTCATAACCATCATTAAAACTCTGAGAATCAAATTTAGTTGATGATTCAACGCTCTAAATTGTTATTTTTAAGTTAGACTTTTCCGATAAATCTTATTGTAAATCTGTGCTAAAAATAACATACCGATTCATAATTATCATCTTTATGTTCTAATACGAATGATAAACTATCTTTACTTGCTTTGATAAAATTATCAAAAGTAATATTTTCAACACTACTATGATCCAATTGAGAAGAAGAAATGTTGCTTTCTGTACTATACTCTGACTCAGATAGTTCATTAGATTGACGTAATAACCAATTATATTGTTCGATATCTGTTTTTAATCCAATATCCTATATATCAAAGGAATTAATTTAAATTATTTTATTATTATTATGACATGACTTTAGAATTACAAACCTTGATAGCATTTTCAAATTTTTCACACCAATTTTTACCAGGCATTAATGATAATTTTAACAAAAATTGATAATAAGTAGTATCAGTTTTTGGGTCAATTCTTCTTGTTGATAATACAACATCATGAGCACGAAATAATGACATAAATGAAATTGGTGTTATTTCTATTGAACTCTGTGAAGTATGTGAAGTATATGTAGCCAAAGTTATTATATCCGAAAGTATTTCAAGGTCTATAAAAGTTTTAATTATTAACAGGCAATATTAATCAATGCGCGGAAAAATAATTAATATTTCTTTTTGAAATAATAAATACCTCGGGCTGTGTAAGTATCCCAGGTTGGTTTTCGAATTTCCGAATTAATTGAAGACATTTAACTAAAACGCGACTAAAAAAAAAAATAATCGAAGACGCGTGGCAAAATTATTATAATAACAATTTATCACTTATATATGTGATGCGAGGAAATAAATAGTTCTTGGATGAAGCCATAAATGATTTAAATAATTTTTGCGCGTATTGCATGCAGGGCAACGAAGGTGCATAACGAGGTTATATATGGTTAAATTGAATCGACCAATCAAAACTAGGTAGATCACGTTTTTTATGGTTTAATTAACTGGTTAATTAATTTCCCCAACACAATCATAAAAAAAAAATTTTTTTTCGGGCTCTGATTTTTTGATTTTTCCTTAATTTTTATTATAAGGATATTGCCATGACCCAAAATATGTAATATTCTTTAAGCTTGACCGATTGACCGTTAAATTCATTTCAATGCTTATACCATGTTCTGAGAATAGATGAAAAGATGGGTATTCTCAAGAGTAATTTGCTAAAGTAAGGTAAGAAAAAATTCAAGTTTGTGGTTAAGGAGGAAAAAAAACTTTCTTCGAATAAAGTATAATGATGAACAAGTTGTCGCCCCAGGCCGAGTTATTTTTCATGTGGATACGACAAAGTGTATAGCCAAACAACACGCTTCTGATACTTTAACTAATTGATTCGATTTGATTTTGGTTTATTAAATTAAAAAAAAAAATTTTACTAATTTAACTCTTACATTACATATATTCAGATTCGATGCTTCTTAAAGGATGTTTGGATAAAAGAAGGGATACGATGTTCAATCTCGGTTTAATTATTAGGTGAAATACTTTTCAGATTTTAGTTGCTTTTAAATTGATTCCGAAAATTTGTTATTTTCCTTTATAATTATATGGGAAGTTTATTATATATAATATCTAGTATTAAAAGTTCATTATCTCCCATATGTTAAATGCGAAATGATTATTTTTAAATATTTTATGTACTATCAAATTCTGATCATTGATGAATAAATAAATATGATCGCAAAATTTAAATATAATTTAGAATGCATGAATCATTTTTTGTTTACTGATTTTATTCATTTTCTTTATGGATTTAGGAATTAAAAGTATCCTATAGTCAAGGTTTGCTTTTTATTTCTCTTGTATAATACCATTTGGAATACCAAGTTGATATGTTATTGGGTTTTATTGACGCGGTAATTGTCCTCTTTTTTTTTAAAAAAAAAAATTATATATCGCTTTATTAACTAGTATAGATTGTGGGATTTTATGGTTGCAAGCATTTTATTTCAGAGTCGAAAATTAATCCGCGAATGTCATTTTTTAAAGTTTTCAATCTTTTATTATTATCATTATTTCTTATAAATTGATATTGATTTTTAATGTAGAAACTTTTAATCAATATATTGTTAATAATACATATAGTTTTAATATTTACATTTAATTATTTTTACTTAATTATATTTTTTACTAAATTTAATATTTAATAAAAATAAAAAAATTAATAACATAATAATAATAAAATGTTATAAACAATTAATTTAAGAATTCAAAAAACAAATATATATTAAAATACATATACAATTCAAAGTATTTTAGTATAGTTGTATTAATATTATAAAATATATTAAGTATAGTTATATATATATAAATATAGTAGTAGATATATAAAATAAAAGTATAAAGTATAAAGTATAAATACTTTGATTTTTATTTTTACAAAAATAATTTGAATTGCATAATTGAATATAAAGTATTACATTATATTATTATAATTAGTAAAAGTATTGAATTTTTGTTAAATTTAAAATATATATTTTTTTTAAAATGCAATAGTTTCACATAATCTTTATTAAATGTAAAAATATTAGAAAAATACTTAATTTAGAAAATACAAAAATTTTTATATATATTTTATATAACTTTTTATTTTTATAAATTTTTTAGAAATTTTATATTGTTACAATCAGTTCATTTATATTGCTTAAATGTTATAAGCTAAACAGAAGGTTTAATTTATAGTTAAGATAGGTAAAGTATGAGTATCAATCATTTATTTGATATGCAATAACAAATGAATACTGCTTCAACATTAGTACTTCTGTACTGTACAAATGTTTTTAATAAATCAAACTAAATTATTTAATAACTTAACTAAACTTATCTAAACTAAACTATATTGACTATTAAATACTAAAGATTCTCAGTTATATTTATATAAAATGAAATACATATATTTATTAATTAAGTTAAATAAATAAAATAAATATAATAAATAAACTAAATAAAATAAATAAATAAAATAAATGAGATTAATAATGTTAATATGGTTTGATGATCTATATTAAAAAGATCATTTAAATAATTTTCATATAATATCACTCTTCTTCAAGATTTTGCATTTCTGCAAAAATATCAGTAGTTTTTTTTACAAGAATATTTATTGTGTTAGGATTAAAGATGAGCATTATAATTAAGAAGTTGCAACTTGGTAAATTGCAACTCCTTGTAAATTTATTTTAATATAAAAATTCATAAATAGTTGCATCTCAAAGAGTTGCAACTTAAGTTGCAACTAGTTAAAAATTTTAAAAATAATTATGGAAACCATCTTTAATTAGGATTCCAGAAACTATATATAAAGGTTGTTTTTTGAAAAATTTATTATGATCTTTATCCAATTTAAGTCAAAAATTTACTAGTAATGTTATCTAATTTATCAACATCTTTTAAAGTTCTATATGTATTACCCAAAATAAAAATAACATTATAAATCTTTAATATAAGTATTTATTATAACAAAATACAATTATCATATATTATCATGCAAAAATATTTAATTAATCAAAAATTGTTTTCAAAATATTAGTTATATACTCTTGTGAAAAAAAATAAAAATTTTCTAAGAATTTCCTATTAATTAATTAAATTAATAATGGTTGAATTTGTATGAATTATAACTTGTTTTAGAATTATATGTGTAAATAAATTGCTATCTGATTTACTTGATAGAGAAAATAAATTGCAATTAATATTAATATATGTAACAACTGAAATATAAGATAAAGAATCTAATCTTTTAAAGAAGAAATATAAGTATAACGTTTAGATACTAATTTGTATATTGATAATATTTTTCCTAGTAATATTTCTTTTCTTGATATATATAAAATAAAATCATTTTTTTGTAATGGATTATCATTAGTTATATTTGCATTAAAAATATTTGAAGCTATTATTTAAAATGAATAAATAAATATAATAACTAAAATTAAAATTCATATTAGTTATACCTTTAATAAGTTGAGGTAATCTAATATTTTCAAGTTTTTTCTTTCTATTCACCTTTCTTTTTATAATCTAACTATTGATCATAAGTATCACTTTAGAAAAATTCTGAAACTAGTAAATTTGCTAAATTTTGGTTTAATTTTTTTTGATTATTGGATGATTAAATTGTATTTAATTGACGATTTTGGTATGGTCATTCAGATTAAAAAAATTCATTATGAGATATATGAGTTTGAATATTTGTGACATATCTATTAAGCCATTTATATGAAACAGTTTATTTTGTTTTAATCTAATTACTGAAAAAAATTAGGTTGAATTATTTAAAATAAAATTCAATTCCATTTTTTGATGAATTTAAAAGCTTAAATTCTTGTTCTAATTCATTTGTTTCTTGCTCTAAATCTAATTATGATAATTGTGTTACTTTCAAACTGTATTGATTAAAGAATCTTCATTCAAATTAGATTCATTATTATTATTATTATCAAAATCAAATCCACTAATATCATTATTCATATTGGAATTATCGAGACTATTATTTAAAAAATTGGAAATTGCTATTAATTGATATGATGTTGAACTATAAAGTATGAAATTAATTTATCATTTAATAATTTAATTTCTAATGCCTTAATAAATTTAGCTATATCATCATATGCTATTCTAATTGCATCATGAATAGCATTATTATCTGATCATGTTCATAAAATATCAATGTTTCATTTGATCTAGAATTTAAATTAATTAATAATTAATTAATAAATTAATAAAAATGTTTATTTTACAAGAAAAAACTTTATTTTAAGATTATAATATCATCATTAGATGAAAGATATATGGCTACATCTTGTGGCTCAGTATTTTGTAGATCTTTAAAGATTAATTGAAAATTTTGAGAAATGGTTTCAATGTATATTAGTAAAATATCAAGTCCTTCCATTTTTTTTTCTAAAGGAAATTTTATTTCTGATTTTACTTATATATATTAAAAATGAATTATTATCAAGAACTTTTTGCAACATTAAATTTTCAATTAATATAATTAGTTCAAGTAGCATATATTAGTGATATATTTTTAGCTTTGTATTATTAATAAACATTTTAAATATTTGTAATCTATTGTCCTTAATTTATACATTCCATTTCCAAGATTTGTATGAATGTAGTATAGTCTTTTCTATCGCTCTTCTAGTTTCTTTTTGCCTTATATTTCATTTTTATGCATTAATACTAATTCTTCTACTCTAAAAGTATATTCATTTGTTAAATTTTCATCACATCATTTCTTTTATTTTTTTTAAGATTTTTTTTATATTTGATTATGTTTGATTAATATTATGATCCATTCTCCCAGTTATTTGTTATACACAATTTAATAGATCATCTTCATCATTAATTTCTTTTACTTGTATATTTGTATTTGTATCTGAAACTCTATTGGTAAAATTACTTCTCTTCCATAAGTTAAATAAAAAGATTCATACCATATAGTATTATGTCTTTTATGCAATATGCAAATAATGTAGAAAAAACAAAGGTATACCAATCATCTTTATTTCATTTGTAAATTTTACCAGAGTTTCACATAATGTTCTATTAAATTTTTCTATAAGGCTATTGTCTGAGAGTGATATATAGTAGTCAGTTTATATTTTACTCCTAATTTATTACACAAAGAATCTAATATTTTATTGATGAAATGTGTTTCTCTATTTGTTAAAAGTTCCTTAGAATATTTATATCTACAAATGATATCTTTATAAAAGAATGAAACTACTGATAATGCTTTAGCGTTAGATAATGCTATTACTTCTGACCATTTAGTTAAATAATCTATTATTACTATAATATACTTATTTTCTTGTTTAGTTATTAATAAAGGTTCAACAATGTTCATACCTACTTGATCAAAAGGTTATCTAACTTTTATTGGATGCAAAGATTCTGTTCTCTTATTTTGCCTCTCTTTAGCACTTATTACAAATTTGAACATATTGTTGAATACCATTGTACATCTGTAACCAATAGTATCTAATTTTGATTTTTCTGTACATCTTTTCTAATGCAAAGTGTCTAGCCAGTAGATCAGAATGCAAATTATATAATATTATGTTTACTTTATTAACTTTGACAACTTTGTGATTCTTTCTTATTTTTTTTTATAAAGTTATCCTTCTATCACAATAAAATATTTTGACTTTTGTTTGATTGCTACTTACTATTATTGGTTTAATTATGTTGGCATTTAGAGTTCCATGAGATAGTATACTAGTGAAAAATATGTGTCTGAATTCATGTTAGGTTAAATAAAAAAAATTATAGTTAGAATATCCATTATAAACAAATCCGTTTACTTTTAAGTTAGTGGTTAAAAAAACTTGTTAGTGTTGTATTTAGCTGAGTGTATCAATATTTGTGTGAAGTTTTTCTGGTTGATTGTTTTTTTAGTTGATTAATTATTTTAATTTTATAAGCATTAAGTATCATTAGCCAATATCCAAGTCTTTTAACAGAGTTTGTCATATTCTTTAAATAAGCTAAGGTAGTATGATTAAATATTACTATGAATTTATGTCTGTGCAAATAATGGTAATAATATTTTACAGCCCAAACTACAGCTAGACATTCTTTTTCTGTAACTGAATATTTTTTTTTCAAATAGTCTTAATATTTCACTTGCATAAGTAATAATTTGCTCTCTATTTTGTTTGTTCTTTTAAGAAAGTATTGCTTCTAAAGCAAAAAAAGAAGTGTCAGTATAAAGAAAAAAAGTTTTATTAAAATTAGGATATGCAAGGATTGGTAGAGTTATCAAATAGTTTTAAGTCATTTAAAAGCATTTTGTTGTTATTAAATTCAAATATAAGGTGTATTCTTTTTCATTAACCTATTCAATGGTTCAACTATATCTGCGAATCCTTTAATGAATCTTCTATAGTAGAATACTAAAACAATAAATCCTCTTAATTGTATTAGATCTTTAAAAATAGGAAAATTCTTAATTGTAACTACTTTGTCTGGATCTGTTTAAATTCCTTCTCTGCTAATTACGTGTCTAAAAGAAGGTAGCTTTTATTCAAAGAAAAAACATTTTTTTGGACTAAATTTTAATTCAACTTATCATAATTATAGTAATACTTGTTTTAAATGCAATAGATATTCATCAAATAATTTAAATTAATATTGATATCATCAATATAAATGACTATATATTGCTATAATATATCATGCAGAACAGTATCTATGAGTCTTTGAAATATTACAGATACGTTATAAAGATTAAAGATATAATATTAAACTCATAAGTTTCAAATTTAATAATGAAGGTGATCTTTTTTCTATCCTTAGATTCTAATTCAACTTGTCAGAATTCACTAGTAAAATTCAGTGAAATGAACCATTGTGATCCTTTTAATATTTTCAACATATTATCAATATATGTTAATAGTTAGTTATTCTTTTTATAATACTATTTAACTTATAATAATCAACACATAAGCATTTTTACTATTTTTATTTTCTACTATGACAACTAATAATGTCTATTAACTTTTTGAAGGTTGGATTAAACCTGATTTTAATAATTGATCAATTTTCTTTAATAAATTCCTGATTCTTATATGAGACATGATAAAACTTTTGCTTTAATTGCGAAGCATTTTTTGTATTAATAGTATAGGTTATAACATTTGTTTTTTCAAATTAACCTGATTCCTGAATAAATAAATCTATATATTCAATTATGAATTCATTCAACTTCTTTATTTGTTATTGATGAGTAATTTAATATAAAAAGTTTCTTTCTCTATTTCCTTATATTGGTAAAAGAATTTTTGATAACTTATGATTTCACAGTTAGTTTTCTAATTCCTGATCAAATAATGTTACTTTCTCAATTAAGATTTCTTTATAACAGAATAATTCTTCTTATTCATTTTCTTTATTATTTTTTTCTTTCTATTTCTCTTCTTCATATTTTTCTTCACTTTTATTATTATCAATTGATTCAGTTCTTATTATTAAAGATTGTCAAAATTCAATAAGAACATTAATAATATGTTCTTCCTAATATAAAGATATTATTTATTTTGTAACTTATAATTGCATCAGTTTTCTCTAACCAGTTATTTTCTAAATTACGTTATAAGAATCTATTTTAATTATAATAGCATTAAATAAAATAATTTTTCTTATTAATCTAAGTAAAACACTGGTGACTATTTCTAAGGGTCTTCTTTTTTCTCTATTCATATTTATCATAATTATTTTGGATACTTTGTTACATTCCATATTTAATTCTTTTATTAATACTAAAAAGATAATACATCCTAATAAGCCTGAATCAACAATTAAGGAAATTTTCTTACTTTTGATATGAGTTTGACAATATAATGCAGTTGACTTCTGATTGATGTTCTTATTAGTATTATGTGACTCAAGTAATATAAGATACTCTTCATCTCTATCAACCTCTTTAGTGTCTATTGGTTTAAAACCAGATAGTCTAAGGGGTTTATGAGATGTTTTACTTTTACTTAGTTGGTTATTTCTTCTATTATTGCAGGGCCTTTTCCTTTGTTTAGTTTTTGAGCTATTCTTAAAAGATAAAATACATTCATTGAGAATTTTAGATTCATTGATAATAGTTTTCCATTTGTTATGTTAGTTAGTTGATCAAAGAATTTTTGTGATATATATGAATTAATCATGTTTGTGACTGGTAAAACAGTAGGTAGGTTTTTTTTTAATTTATTAATTCTTTTAATAATAATATCTCATTGTTGATTTTTTTTTATTATTGAATCTTTTTTACTAAGTACTTGTCTCCTTTTATTTATAAATGTTTCTTGTAAAAATAAATTTAAGGGAACAAAAGAAGGTTCTGTACCATTACCCTCCTGTGATACACATTCTAGTTTAAAGACTGACTATTATTTTCATTTTTTTGTTATTCTAATAATTATGCTAATAGTTGTAGTATTTATGCATTTGGATTATTATTTGTTATGTTTGTTATATTGTTTACTAGTGGTAGAATTGGATTAGTTAGAATATTATTCATAGGAACAAAGTTATTTATTGGTAGTGAATTATTTATAAAATTATTTAACTTTTTTATATTTGAATTTTTAGAAAATTCATAAAATATAATAAATATACCATTAATTTTTTCTAACATTTTCTTTTTTATATTTGGATTACTTATGATATAATATATAATAAATAAAAGCAATTTGCAATTTATATTTGAAAATAAATAAATAATATAATTATTTTAATTAAATTTTATTTATTTATTTATTTATTTAAAAAGGATTATATATTTGAAAATTTTCTTACTTTAAAAGTTTTAAAATATTTAAAAAAAAAATGTTTGCCTAAATATTTTATTTAAAATTTTAATACTAATCATAACATTTCATATATCTTTTTCTTAGATATAATATTTCATTCAATTATTATATTTAAAAATTTTCATTAAAATATTTAGCAATTTTATGATGTATTTTATTTTATTAGTTTCTGACTATTCATATATTTAACATTTAAAATTATTATTAATAGTTGAATATTATTATTTAGGATAAATCTAAAAAAAAATGCATTTTATATAATTTAAAAATGTGATATTTATTTAAATATTAACGAATCAAAATTAAAAATGAAAATAAAATGGTTATATATTACAAATAGACAAAGTTGATTAAAAAAAAGACTCAATAAAGTCAAAGATATAAAAATGATTCAAGATAAAATTACCCTTAAAATTGGATCTGCAAAGTTACAAGTGATTTACAATCAATCAAATTAGTACTACTAAAATTGATCATTGAATTAATATATAAATTAAAAATAGTAGTAAGATTGGTTTACATAATAGATCTATTAATGTCATAATTTATTTAATTCATTTTATCTATTTTATTCATTTATTTTATTGTATTTATTTTATTTAAATTGTTATAATGATATATAGATAGTTTTTATATAAATAGGAGCAGTTTAGAATTAAGTAGTGATAGGTTTTTAATAAGTTTTTTTAAGTTTATTTTAGTAGTAATAAATCTTTTAATAAATAAACTATTTAATACAAACATGCTAACAGAGGCAGCATTATAATTTTGTTTATTAATCATTTATCCTATGCATATTTATCATATTTTTATTATATTTATAAATTTTTAATTATATTTTTTATCTTGCTTACAAAGGAAATCTTCTGTACTTATATATATATTATTTATTTAAGCTGAACAATTCAAAAGAATTAATGTAATAATAACATTTATCATTATCCCTTAGATCATGAAGTTTTGCAAATTTGCCTACTTATTTACTATAAATCCTTTTCTAATTATTTTTATAAATAATTAATATTTTTAAATTTTTTTTTAAATTTATTTTATTAATATGTAATATATTATAACAAGTTTTATTTTTTAATTATATAATAAAAAATTTTATGTTACTTATAAGCTAAAAATTTATAATTTATAAAAAAAAAAAAATTTATTTTAAAATTTTATGATTAATCTGTTAAACTTTTTAAAATTTATTTTTAACTATATTAATCATAATAGAATATTATTACACAAAAATCATTTAAGTGATCTACTTAATATAGATTAATAAAACTAAGTCTATATTATTAATATCATATATTTTGTTTATCTTGTTTATTTAGTTTAGTTAATTTATTTAATTTATTTAGTTTACATATTATATTTGTTTTACTTAGTTTATTTAGTTTATTTATTATATTTAATTTATTTATTATCTTTATTTTATTTTGTTAACATTGTTAACAAATCTATATATTTTATTTTATATAAATACAGCTGACATTTTTAATTCAAAAAAGACAAACAAGAGATAGTCAAGAGTCAAATATTGAATAGTTTAGTTTGATTATATTAGAACATTTGTATAGTATAGAGCACCGATGTTAAGGCAGTACTTATTTGTTATTTCATATCAAATAAATAACTGATATATATATTTTACCCTATCTCAACTACAAATTAAACTTTTGCTTACCACCTATATTATCTGTTTGCTTATAACATTTAAGTAATACTAAAGAACTAATCATAATAATATTATAAAATTACTTATAAAGAAAATTTTTTTATTATAATTTTTATAATTTATTAAGAAATTTTATGATGATAAAATAATTTAATTAATATGTAAACATAAATTTTTAAAGAATTTTTAAAAAATTATTATAATAAATTTTTTGAAACTTAATTTTAAAATTAAATTATTTTAAAAACCTTAAAAATCTTTGTTAATAAAGTTGATAAAATATATATTAAATTATATTTTTTATATAATAATAATATTACTAAAATTAATGTTTAACATTTTATAATTTTACAGGCAAATTTACCTGCTATAAAATCTAAGGGATAAATAAATACCTTAAATCTGATAAAAGTTTAAATGTAACTAATCAGATTTTATTAATTTATGATAAATCAGAAATTGATGATTATAAAAGAATCAAATTTTTAATGAAAATGATATGAAGATTACAAATTATATAATGATAGTGATTATAATTGATTTGTGATTATAAAGAGATAAATTAACTAAATTAAAGTCCATTTCACAAATTCAGGTTCTTATATTGATTGTATAGTAATTTAACTGTATAATAAAAAAATAATTAATCAATCAAAATAAAGAATAAAATTTAATGATGATAAAGAAGTCATAATAAAAGAAACAAAATTTCTCTATTAGATACTTTTAACCTTCACATCTCACTTAATGATAATAAATTTTTAAAACATTTAATTAGGATTAATTTAATATTATTAGAAACTTAATAATTTTTATCATAATAAATTAATAATTTCTAAAATTAGGTAAATAATTTAATTGATATTAATATTAATATTTTATATTTAAAATTTTTTCACGTCCAATTAAACGTATCACGTGACACGAGAATTGCTTATTAGCATTAAAAAAATGAATTTATTATTATTCACGTAAACTATTACAAAGTAAAAAATATCGATAAATGTACAAAATATCTAACAAATTATCTAATCAAAACTAAAGAAATAAAAGAAAAAAAAAAAGAAATAAGAAATACGAAAAGAGAGCAAAACATATAGAGTTCAGGAAACTCCACACTTTATTTAACCTTTCCAAATCCAGAAATTGCCTTCCCAATTTTTGGATATTCCCCATCTACCGCAGATTCCAACAGGCAACAAAACACCATCATAAATCCATCTTAATTGAGTATTATATATTTTTATAAAATTCACGTTTCCTTTCTCGGTAATAATTCCACGCTTAATAATAAACTCACCAACTTGATCAGTTCCGCTACCAGAAAATTCTTTAACTACCTTATCAGTAACCACTACGCCTGGATTAAAAAAGTTATCACTTAATTTATATACTTTACCCGGTTCTGGTGTAGAGAACTTTAACGAAATATCCATTGCTGATTCACGTGTTACCCCTTCCCAATATTGATAAGGTAATGGTTGGAGGTCCGAATAATACCCAAACCATTTTCCGTCATAGGCATCGCCATTATATGGTTGAATCATTCCTTCTCCAGGTTTTTGGTATAAATTGTTGAAAATGTTGGAATTTGGTACGAGTGAAGGTGGAGGCAAAAAGTTATATATAGATTCCACTCGATTCGGATTGCTGTATTTTATACGGAAAAATATGTGAATCGCTGACCCTGCAGGAATTGGAAGATGTAATTGTTTTAATCTAACATTGTCACCCTTTGATTCTGGGAAAAATATATCGGTGAGGATCATTGAAGCATAAATATTTGACCAAAACGAGTCCATTATATGTAAATCAACCGCAAGTTCTGGATGCCAAGCCATTAAAATTGAAAGGACTTGTAAAGCAATAGTTAAACAATCTATTTGGGTGGTTGTATTATTCAGTGACTGAATTAGGTTCACCGTAAATTCTTTGACATTTGATGCTAATAATACTTCACTATTCATTCCATCATTCTCTTGGCAAATTTTCCAGATAGTATTTAAAATCTTTAATAATCTGGGGCTATTATTCTGTCGGATAACATTCGCTCGTATTCTTAGATTTGGAATTCTATTTATGTACCCGTCTGCATATGCTTCTTCGCTCACGGGTATAAAGCCAAAATAAGAGTGATTATAAGATCCTAGATAACCCTCATCTTCATTATTTGTATCATTATTTAGTTCCTCAATCTCATCAAAATCTTGTGAACTATCATTCTCATAATATTGTTGAATCATGTCTTCATAATCTTCTTCATGATTGTTTCCAGAATCATTATTTCCTTTACCGAAGGCGGCGTCTTCATTATGCAGAATAATATTTTTTACCCCATCTTCAACATCATCATTTTCATCATAAAAGGATAAATCATTTTCTTGTTCGTTAAATACTACCTTTGAAGTATTTTCTGTCTTATTATTATTAAGATCTTGAAAATTGGTTAATTTTTTATTCTCATCGTATTCTTGTAAATTATTATAATCCTGTAATTGAAATACTTCCTCATTTTCATCGTAAGCAGGTAGTTCATCATTAAACGATTCTTTTAAAGTAAAGTCTTCATCATAATCAGGTAATTTAAAGGGTTCTTCTTCGTGATCAGGTAATTTAAGCTCCTCGTCATAATCCTGTAATTTGAGCAAAGGTTTTTCGAAATCGGGTAATTTAGGATCCTGTAATTTAGACGAAGGTATATCGTAATCAAGCAATTTAGGTTCATCATCCTGGAAATTAGATGAAGGTTCTTCAAAATCCGATAATTTATGATCCTCTTCATAATCCTTTAAATCAAAAGAAGGTTCTTCAAAATTTGGTAATTTATGATGTTCTTCATCAACCTTTAAACCGGATGAAGATTCTTCAAAATCCGGTAATTTATGATGCTCTTTATAATCAAGTAAATTAGATGAAGGTTCTTCAAGATCAGGTAAATTAGATGAAGGTTCTTCAAGATCAGGTAAATTAGATGAAGATTCTTCAAGATCAGGTAATTTAGATGAAGGTTCTTCAAGATCAGGTAATTTAGATGAAGGTTCTTCAAGATCAGGTAAATTAGATGAAGGTTCTTCAAGATCATGTAATTTAGATGAAGGTTCTTCAAGATCAGGTAATTTAGATGAAGGTTCTTCAAAATCTGATAATTTAAGCTCTTCCAGTTTAGAATTCTCATCATCATAATCCGGCAATTCAGATGATTCATAATCCTGTAAAAAGGTTTCATCCAAGTCATCATTAATTTTCGAATTAAAAAGATCATGATTTTGATCGAAAACATGATCTACCTCGATAGTAGAAGCATCAGTTTCTTGAACTAAAGTTTCAATATGTCGTGTAGAAGTCTTTCCATTTTTCACATCATTGAAGGTTTGATCCATTTCAATAATATTTGAAGCGAATATGGAATCCAACTCGGGATCATCAAAATTAATTGAATCCTCGCCTACAAAATCAAGTTCTTGACAAGTATCATCCAATTTGATGTCATTATCCTCCCGATCAATTTTAATATTATTTTCCTTTATAGTGTCTTTTTCAACGGTATCTCCAGTGGTATCTCTCAGGTCAAATTCTTGAAAAAGAAAGTCTTCAATTCCTAGGATCAGGTTAGGACTACTTGAACCTTTTTCTTCGTTTTGTTCTTCATGTTCCTGGTTACCTACAAAATTAAAATCGATTAATGGATCATCAACATTATGATCGGTTGACTCTAATGTTGAACTATCCTCGTCGTTAGTAGAAGTATCATCTTCGTCATCCATGAGATCATCTATACTAGTAGTAATATCATCATCAATTTCAACATTATTAATGGAAGCAAAAGGCGAAGGTAAAGTAGATGTAACATAAATTTTCACTTTATTTAAGGCAATTTGACGTTCTTTATACAATTCTTTCCAAACATTTCCACCAGTTTGTGTTTGTATCAGACAAGAAGAGGAGGGTTGTGCTTGAGAAGTTGTTTTACCTTCACCTTTTGTATCACCAACAACATCAACTCCTTCAACACCTCCTTTTATTAAGTTATTGTAATTTTCGACAATTCCAGCTCTAATTATAGCCTCAGAGTCAAAAATTTTTTCAAAAGCATTTTGCCATATGAATACATCATTCGCTATGTTATGGAATAAGCGACAAACTCGAGAAAGTATAGAAATTTGTTTATGTGGCGTTAAACAAATGACTGTTGAAATGGTACTTGAATCAGGTTCATTAGCTGCTGAAGTGGTAAATTCCGTTGTTCGATCAGTAAAAGTAAATGCAAATATAGCAAAAATAGTTTCATTTGGAAGGCGTGAAAAAAAATTTGAAGTATCATATTCGTGACTAAAGGAACTGGTAGAAGAAGGTGAACTTGGTTCTAAAGTGGTAAAAGTACTATTGTTATTTTCTTGAAACATATTGAACACAAAAGCTGCGAAAAAAAAAAAAAAATAAAATAATAGTAAGAGAAAAAATATGAATTTTTTTTTTTTACTAGAATGGGAAAAAAAAAAATTTCTAAAATGAGCTCAACAATAACATCACATTCATTTCACGTGAGTATTCCCAACGCGCGTCATTTTTTCCAAGTATAATCATATATAGATCTGATGAAGAATATCAAATCAAATTTTCTCTATAAATCTTTTCATGATGTATACTAATAAATTTAGATTATTATCTAATATTTTTATTCCAAGAATTAATCAAAGCAAAGGTATTGGATCGTTAATTTTTAATGTTTTTATTTTAATTTTTTTTTAATTTAAGATTTTTTTTTCTAATACTAATAAAATTATGTAAAGTACATAACAGAATACTTCCTTCCCTAATATTTCAAAGAAATTTTAATATTGCGAATGTTAATAACTTGGAATACTTTGATACAAGTTCATTTGTAGAAAGGTTAGAGAAAGAAGGGTTTACAAGACAACAAAGTGAAGCTATAATGACATCATTATCGGAAGTGATGAATGAGAGGTATGTTCAGTGATTGTGATTTTGAATTTTCTTCTACTTATTGATATCGATCTTTTTTTGTTCACTTATTTACATACCTTAAATGATAGTATGCAGAATCTGACAAGTAATATGGTGACATTAACAGATCAAGAGAAGGTAAATCTCACGCTCCACTTTTTTTTTTATTCTCTATAATTTAACGTTCCCTTTCTCTCTCAATTAAAGACTGTATACACGGCCAAAGTGGACATATCCAAGTTAAAATCGGAAATGCAAATGGTAGAAAAGAGTGATTTCAATGTGTTAAAAGCGGAAAACGAAAGGTTATCAACAGAGATCGAAAAATTAAAACAAAAATTAAATGAAGAAGTCAAAAAGACTCAAGGGGGAGTCCGTTTGGATTTAAATTTAGAAAGGGGTAGAATTAAAGATGAATCAAGGGCATTAGAGGCAAGTTTAAAAGAAACTCACACCAAGATTGAAAGTGACATAGCTGGATTAAGAACAAACATGGAAACCGTTAAATTCCAAATATTACAATATATGATCGGTACTTTAACTGGTGCCGGCGCTTTGATCTTGGGTAAGTAACCGTTTCTCATCATTATGTCGTTTTTTTTTTTTTTTTTACCAAATTTATTAATTTATTAATATATATATTTTATTTTTTTTTTAAAAAAAAAAAAACAAAAAATTCGTAGCATACATGCGGATGTTTCGATAGATTAAATATTATTAAAGTAAAAATTTTAAGATATACACAATTTATTAATAGTATCTTATTAAGTTGTCTAAAATTACAAAAATATATAGATATAAAAAATATATATAAAAAAAATCTAATAATAATAATAATTAAGAACAGAAACCACAGAGAACAAAGAAAGGAGAATAATTAAATAAGTGAGCATCGGTATAACGATCGTTAGGATCATTTTGTTTTTTGGATAATTTTTTAGCAGAATTTTTTGCGATCAAACCGGTAATTAAAATAAAAGTTTCAAATGAAGTCAATAATTCTTCTTCCTTGCCTTTACTACTATATGAATCAGCATCTAAGATCTTACTGGATATGTTAATATAAAGAGTGTTCGTCTCGTTTTCAAATTCAGCTATTCTTGCACCTATCCCGCTCAATCCTTCGACACAATATAATTCACTTTGTTTATCACCATTATTATCGGGTATTAAAGAACCATTAGAGAAGGCATTACTATTTTTCTTTAGAGCGAAAGAATTTCTAAAAGAACTTTTCTTTTGTTGTCTATTAACCGTATCATCACCATTATTAAATTTCCAAAGGAATATTCTACCATTCCAAGATATGACATAACCACCCAATAACTTTTCATATTTAATTAAGGTATATTGGGTCAATAAATTTGAAATTTCCCAAGTTGAATTAGGTTTAATCAACTTATTTATTCCATCCACACCGTTGTTTAATCCATTTATCGTCGTTGACGACGACGTACTATTAAACGTACAAGTGCTTCCAATGCTACTCGTAGAATCAACCGAAGTGGTGGATAAATTGCTAAATCTATGCTTGTTCATATTTAAATCTTCTCCTAAATATTGATGTTTGATTTTGGTTGGATTATTGGAAAGAGGGGTAATTGCGGTGGTACTGTCTTTACTGGTGGTGGTGGTAACTTCGTTCAGTCTTGGGAATGCGTTCCAATATAACTGATTTTGATCATTACAACTTTGTATGCAAACATTTGGGTTAGAATAAGTTGGAGCTTTTATTTGATATTTTGCAGTTAAATCCGATGCTCCACTATTTAATCTTGTTGTATTATATATTGTTATCATACCATTTTCTTTTATATATGTATATTGTGCTAGTGAATTGTGGTGAGTAGAAGCGTACGTCTTGCTCTTTTGCATTTTTGGTAGCTTTGAAAGGGATGTAGTTGTATTGGTGGGGTTGGTATTGCTGGTAGGTACCACTGTGTTATTAATTCCGCGCGACGACATTTTGGGGGGTTGGCTTCTTTTTTTTGTTTGTTTTTTTTTTTTTGAAAAAAAAAAGGGAAGGAATGTGTGTGTTGTTATTTGTTGTGTGAACAAGAACAAAAGAATTTTTCCCTACTATTTATAATTCAATGATAAAATATGTGTGATCGTTATTTGGATCTTCCTGACAATGAAAAGCGATTTTTATTTCTACTGTGCTACTTTAAATTCTTTTAGACCATTAATTATTGGCGAAACATATTTGTTAAACCTTAAAAAATTTACTTGGTGACACTTAATTATTGACTATATTTAGATGTAAAATCAAATGTCTTTTTAATTACATAAAATGTACGTCTATGTAATAATAATTTGTTCAATCATCATAAACAAGACAAATAATACGAAGAAATATATGGAAATTTATTTTATGGTGATTTAGTCAATTTAAGTTGAAACTTCCGGGTTCGCAATTAAAACACTTTGTTTTCTTTTAATGTTTCTAATTTAATATCGGGGGTTCTTTTTTGGCGTAAAAAAAAAAATAATTTAAAATCATGCTAAAGGAATAAAACAAGTTTTATGCAAGGAATGCAGGGTTTTAGGTTGACTCGAATACGTCATTGGATGAGATCGAATGATTTTCATAAAACCCTCCATTATTTACAAAAAAAAAATTTTCGATCGTTTTTATTTATAGATGAAGGAAGTGATATTTTGGAAATTTGGTTTTCCCAAAATCATGATAGCATTGCAGAATTTCGAAAAAAAGAGAGTTTTTTATTTTTAAATTTATTTGATAATCGCAACTTTATACCTAACAAATTTTTTAGTCAATAATAATTACCTTTGTGGGTGTAATGCTATTCTCCAGAATATAATCAGCATTTACAAAATCATTACTTTCTATTCTATATGCCGCAGATTTCTCATCTTTAGCAATTCCACTTTTTATGTGTCTTTTAATCATTCTCATTCTTGCAATTTCACGATCTATTTGTAAAAACCAAAGTTCATCCATTTGTAAAGCAATTGAATTCCAAATATGTGGTTCTCTCAAATGAAGATAAAGTCCTTCAAATATCACTAATTGATGACTATGAAATGAAAAAAATATATTTCAAATTTAATTACGATGAATACAAGGTAAAAAGAGTAGAGTAAACCATATGATGAGAAACCTTGGAAGAATCTTGATGTCATCTTCGACAGGGTCGCCAACAGCATGGTCAAAGGATGGTGCATTAATGATGTTCTGATGTATTATTGGATTTCGAAGACTGACAACAAGTTTAAGAAGTCCTTTTTTTTTTTTTTTAATCAATCTCAATAATTTTCCCGCTTGATAAAAATCAATATCTTTTCGTTATTCTACCTTCAGCATCAAATGTCCAATGCGCTCCACGACGAGCATTAGCTTCCTCAACATTCTTTACATTAACAAAGAATTGTATCTTAAATTTCGTATCCCTTATAACCATCTGAATCGTAATCATGGAATTCAAATTCATACCGGAAATGTGTCCAATATTTTTTTGGGATAATGATATCCATCCATTGATATATTGATGGCTATTTGTTTTCCAACTAAATTGTTTACAACTTGTACGAGATTATTTGCCAATGTAGTTTTACCCGATCCTGGAATGCCTGCTATCGCAAGAAGAAATCGTTTTTCTGGAGAAAGACTATTTAAAAAGGTATTTTATCAACATAACGATAAGCTTTTAACCTAAAATTTATATATATATATTTAAATAAATAATTTTTACGGACTTTAAAATCTTTTCTGTAAGGTATTTGTCGAGATTATAAGTACTTTTCATTTTTTTTTAAGTAAAATAAAATAAAATAAATAAAAAAAAGGTTGAAAGCGAATCTGCGTATTTATCTTTTTTCATTGGGTGATAAAAAAACAAAATCGCTGGATTAATATTTATTTGGTTAAATTCAAATGGCAAAATTTTTTTCCAAATTTAATTTATGATTTTATCATTCATGCAACGTGACCTTCCCATTTTTCCTTGTTTCAAAATTATTAAAAATTCGGGGAGGAAAATTTTTTTAAGATGCCTTGTCGATCAACTTATGATTGGTACCCCTATCTATTAGATGCCGTTATTTAGTGATTTTAAAGTTCTTTGGTGACAAGTCAATTTGATAAAGTTTAGTGCAGCTTTCGAATCGTATTCGTCATATTCTGTTCTTTAAATACCTTCCACTTGCGCTTTGCTTTGTAAACGGACAAATGCAATTGAAGTTAAATTTTTTAAAACTAACAGATTAATAAATAATTTATCTGATATTTCATTCATGTGTTTAAAAGATAATCACTAGAATGTATACAAAGCTTATAATCAAATGAACAATCATTGAGATATTCAACGGGTAATTCCAAGATTGAACACAATATAGAAATGGGTTTATTCAGCAACTTTTGTTGAAATAATTAAAATAGTTAGTTTGCAATAGTGTGCAGCGTGCACATGATTGTTGCGCTAAAAGGCATGCTCATATTATGTCGCGCATAAATTAAAAAAAAATTCCCTGCACGTCATGTTACATAGAGAAATATCATTCACCGGAATTATAAAATTAGCTTCAACAGGATTAAATTGATTTAATTGATTTATTGATAAATTTTCGTCATTCTGTGGCATGATAATTTTCTTTATTATCCAACAGTTTGGGAGTCTTAATTTAAATTATTATTTTGAGTCGTCTAACGTTCTAGTTGTGATCTACCAGTAAATGACAGGGAAGGCAGTCTGAATTTCTTAAATCTTTTTATGTCAAAGAAATTAAAATAGGTTCCTGTCAATTTTATAAATTTGGTATTTAATTTTAGATAAAATTGAAATTTGTACAAGATATGTACTGTATATATACACCATATAATTAATCTACGAAGAAATTATTCTATTTGATAAAAAAAAAAAAAAAATCTATGTTTGAGGTTAAAAGTGTTAATCATAAAATGCAATGCAAAATTTGAAGCATTTCGTTGCGTGTAATCAAACCATCTCCGTCATTATCATAAAATCTAAATAACCCTACAAAAATAAAAAGATTATTATTTTTTCTTCCTATGGAATAATATATAAAATCAAACTTGATGAAATTTAAACTTACATTGTAATCTTTCTTCCAAATCTTCAGAAATATCCAAAGAACCGATGAATTCTTCAAAATTTATAGTTCCAATTGAATCTTTTGTCGTTGGAGATGATAATTTATTTTTATTCAACTTTAGAGATAATTTATTTATGGATCTAATGCTTTTCAATGATTTATGGCTAATTTGACTGCTAATAGATTTTGTACTTGATTTGCTTGATTTGCTTGATTTACTTCGTTTCAATTTTTTTCTATTAGCTTTTTCTTTTTCGATATACTCAATTTCTTCTTCATTAATAAATTCATATCCTTCATCTTTCTTATCATAAACCGATTCACTTGAAAATGGAGTCATGACCAAATCAGAGATTCCATAACTGGTCGATACAGATGATGATGATGATTGAGAAGAACAATTTGACCGCTTTCTTGAAAAATAATCATCCTGATCATCAGAATATTCATGATCTGAAGGCTCTTTCTCATCATTACTGTATGGATTTTTTTGTAGGTAAGGACTTTGAGGGAGAGAATTACGTGGATAATTAAAATAACTATTCACCGTGTAATTTGAATATGGACTATCATTTCCACTTGAAAATTTTTCATCATCCGAACAATTCAAATATTCTGTTACGTTCATTGAATTGGAATAAGGTGATGAGGCATCCGTTATAAACTTATGATAAGTTTCTATTTGATATGGTGTAGGTGGACTAAATGATTTATTGATGAACGGAAAAAAAAAACAGCCAAGTTTTTAATCAATAAATTTATAAAATGAATTTTTTATGACGATTTTTTTTTGTTTTGAATCGCGTACTTACTTAAAAAAGGCAGGCTTCGAATCCATCCACTTTGTCTTTTTATAATCATGGCAATCTTCTAAATCATCATTTGATTTATATTCTATTTCAGCATTTTCATTACGTCTATTTGCAAGGTTGATATTTAAGGTGCTTAATAATTTAATCGAATTTTGTTTTGTTTGAATATAAACTTCCGAAACTTTTTTTAATGATTTTTCGCAAAATTGTGAAAGTGAGGAACGATTGTTATTTGATGACATTTTTTTGTTGTTGTTATTATAATAAGAAAAGGTGAGAAAAAAAATAATTTGGGAATAGAAAAATGTTACAAGAAAGGAAAAGGAAATGAAATGATTTTATTTTATTTTATTATTTACAATGGATGATTAAATTTAAAAATATGTAAATTAAAAAATATCTATAATCTATTAGTTTTTTTTTTTTTTGAGAAGAAAAATGGGAACGATTTTTTTAGAGAAAAAGAAGGAAGATTATATATACTCAATATATAAATCAATAAGAAAAAAAATATTTAAAAATAATCTAAAAAAAGAAATAGTATACTGAAAACAAAAAGTATCATTGCATAAAAAAAAAACTATAAACAATTTCAAACGTATCAAGTAATATGGAACAAGATTTTCCTTTCTAAAGAAAGTTTCCTTTGTGTTCCATTTTTTATAAAAAATAACTGATCGACCAAGCAAAAGTGTTACAACACGTCATAATAAAACAATTGGCTGTGGCTTAACTCCGAATTTAAGAAGCATATTATTTGTGTATATCGTGTTCGGTTCGATAAACGGGATTTCCATAAAAAAACGATGGTTGACTTTCGGTTCTTTTTTTTTTTTTTTTTTTTGTTGTTCGTGGCTTAAGAATGGCCTTTGTCTTTTCATAATATTGTGAAACAAACATATTGTTTTCAACTATTGAGATTTACAAATTTGGTTAATCGATTCCATATAAATTATTTATTAAATAAGGAATGAACCCTTTGTTAGATTTTTTCGGTTTATGATAAAATATTTTTATTTGACGATCATTTCCGAAAAATAGGCTGAATGGGAAAAAATATTTTCTTTTTAAAGTAATCACATTACACATCATTGTATTACCATCCTTAATTTTTTCGAAGTGCAAAAACTTTCAAAGATTAATGTTTCATTTATTCTTTTAATGTCAAACTTGAAACATTCCTAACAAAATTAATTATTTTTTGTTCATTGAATTCTTTTTAGAAACAAACAATTACTAAGCAGGTAATTTTTATTATTAAGCAAACTCTGTATTTCCATGATTAACGCAATTGCTTTATAATCACACCCCGTTTTGTTTATATAAACAATAATAGCTGATATCAAACGAGAAAAAAAGCATCTTCACATGCATGTGAAATAGGTTTTGATATTATCATTATACAATAATATTTATTTGATGTATTAACAATATGATCTTTAATTAAATGAATAAAAATCTAGTATTATTTATTTTAGTATTATTATCAATTAAATTGAAAAAAAACATATATTTGAGTAAAACATACCAGTGATTCCTATAAAAAGAAAAGGCGACAACAGTCAAATTAAAATGAAAATCGGTATAATAGATCATCCACTTTTTTTAATCGCAGTTTTTTTTTTCTTAATGGGCATCCTTAACCTATACCCCCATCTTTTCTTAAATATGATTGGTTAATAAAATCGGAAAATATTTTGCAATTATTTGAGCTAGTCTCATGAAAATTTAATATCATAATACTAATACACTGAACAATTCAACATATTAATTATTATTCAAGCTAGACCAGTGATGTGAATTGTAAGATTGGAAGCTATTGGAATCACCAATTCCAAGCCTTCCATTTCTATTGGAAGATTGGAAGCACTTAATTCACGTGACTTAAATTAATTATCCAATAGAATTACTGCATATAAAAAGCCGATTTTGTAATAAATTAACTCCGGGTACAATCCAATTCTTAGTTTTTAAATATTGATGACTTTTATTTATTTTTTAAAATTCACCTGCCAAGATCGTATTAAACTAAGTTTGTATAAAATTCAGGTACTAATTAACATCATTATGTAACAAATTCTGATAAATAATCAGAAAGAAAAGGTAAATGCTGTTTTAAAATAATCAATTAACTAAATTCAATTACCGTAGAGCGTTGACTAAACCACCCTCCATGCAAAATACCCTTCTAAGGTTTTGGGTTGAAATTTTGTAGAAGACCCGAGTGGTTTAAATAGGAGGTTTTTTTAGTCAAAAAAGTCAAATTATAAATCATGTGATTAATATACCATTATAACATTTATTTATATTTTATTCAATTTTAAAAAATTCAAAAATAAAACTTTATTATTTATTCAAACATCACAAAAATTAATATCATCCCAGTTATTTGTAATTCTTCTTTCTAAATTCGTCATCTCCAGTTAACTCATCATTTTTCTTATTTTCTTTATTTATTGTAAGATTATCATAGTCAAATATCATATTATTTTCAGAACTATCACTTTTAACTGAAATGTCACAACATTTGAACGATTTATGAATTAAATTTGTATCAATTTTTTCCATGCATCTTTTACCCATAAACATACTAAAGAATATGAAGGTTTTTTAATACGTCCAGATGGAGTTAATTCATGAATTTCATTTGTTATCCAATCATTATAAAATTCGCGAATCTATTAAATTAAAAATCCTTTTAATTTATATAATAATAAATATAAAAATAATAAAAAATTTATTAATTATACTTACATTAGATTTAAAACTTTTGTTAATTGATACATCAAGAAGTTGCAATTTTGATGTTAATCCACCAGAAATTACTGCCATATTAGTTGCTTTTTCATGTAATTTTTGTTTAACAGAATTGACTAAATGATTACGAAAAGAAACTAAGACAAGAAGTGAATTAGGATTAGACAAATCAACAGTTCTTTTAGACCAGAAATTTTCTGCTCACCAAATTATTTCATCTTTATTAATCCATCTTTTTGCATTTACTCTTATAAATATACCATTAGGAAATGTTTCTTGAAGTATATTCTTTAATTTAAAAATAACAACAGGTGGTAATTTTGATTCATCTGCTATATAACCCAAAACAACTGTAAGTGTATTTCTTTCATATCTGATAGTTTTAATATTAATAGTATTAAAACTGTATTTTTCTAGTATATGAATTAGGTAAATTAAAAGCTATAGAAGTCTCATCCATATTTCCAATAAATTGAAGGGAGTAATCATATTATATTCTTCTGTAAAGAATAAAACTTTGCTACTTTTCAAGTAAATCTTCTGGTAAATGCTGAGATACTGTTATTCTTTAATAATTTGAAAGATCATAACAATTCATAAAATAGTCTTTTCATTTATTTGATTATTTAAAAGAAGAAATATTAGGATATTTTTCTTAATATTTATCAGTTATTGCAAATTCTTTGGCTTTTTTTGTTGCCATATTTTTAGTAATTAGAAAATCATATGGGGCCTTTGCAATAGAAAGAGGGGAAACAGCTGGAAAAATCAAAAGTGAGTTAATGCTAAATTTGAACATATTTCAGCATAAAAATCATATTTGGCATATAAAGTAAAATTAATTTTTCCTAGCAGTTTTCCCCCTTTCTATTGCAAAGGCCTCATATTCTCTATATTCTAAAATCCAATTTACTAATTCATTTTCTAAATCCAAAAAAAATGCTTGCCTATCATTATGTAATTTTAATAAATGAGTTGCAGAGACTTTAAGTTGGTCTTTTTTATTCCTCTAGTCATGAACTTGGTTTGGTTGTAAATCAAAATATCTTGCAATAATACGAACACTATTTGAATTATTTAAAATGCAAAATTATTAATTTTTCGCGAATTGACCAAATTATTTTTAAGAGTAAATCTAGAACGCTTAGTACTTTTATTTATTCTAACTATTTTTAATAATGTAATAGTGAAATGCGATACAAAAAATCAGAATATGATACAAAAATGAAATGCTAAAAAACTTTATATATTGATGATCTACATAATCCTTCAAGCCACACCTTCTTACAAAATACTTCTGATTAAACTACTCAGATATTTTGCAAATTTAATGGTAGATTTATAAAATACTTAAAGTGGTTTAGTCAGCACTTTACAGTAGTTATCTTCTTACAGATAATAGATTCTTCATTATTGGATCATTTGGAGGTAAGTCCTAAAAAAAAGAATTTTAATATTAAATTTTTTTTAAAAAATCAAGTAATTAACATCAATTATATAGGTCAAACGCTGATAAATCAGATATCTTCCTGATTGGTTATTATTTTTTGATCAGCAATTAATAGATAAAATCAGTAGATATTATAATTGGATATGAATCAGTTAATAGCATAATCATAATTATTAGGTAGAATTACATAAATCAGTTTTCAATCTGATTTTATACATATTTTAAAAAATTTATAACTATATGTTAAGTAGTAATAAATCAGGTTCAATTAATAATTAGTTAGGGGACTTACATATATGACGTAATTATTGGAGTGGGGGAGGGGTGTCTCAAATATCTCACCTCTATAATTAGCCAATCAGAATAAAGATTCAGGTCACATGATGATCTACATACGATATGAAGGCATCGTACGATCATTGGCAATAATTTCGACTGTCATTTTTTTTTTAAAAAAAAATAACTTTCAGCATATAAAGCAAAAATATTTTTATATATATTTTGCGAACATACTGGTATTTCCTTTCGATGACATACTTTTTAACCCCATTATATATATCGTTTATGTTAATGAATTTGATTAGACATATATTTGGGTAAATACTAAATCTAATCTGACAGATGTCATCTAAAAAAATGTACAATGAATTCTAACAATAATTCAATTGATGAACTGGACTTTTTTGAACAATTTATATATTAGCGGAATATTAATGTTTACATGATTTAATGATTTAGCATACAGCAAATTTTTACTAATAATTTTTTACTTAAAACCTGCCCTAGCATTGTAATAACCTCCTTACTCACTATCTGATTGTATTGCCCATTATATAAGCCTAGTGCCTGTCCAGCTGATATAGATGCAACTGAAAAATCATCGATAGAATTGGTAAGTGGCTTTTTTTGCTTGACTGGTTGTTCTCGTCATTTTGGATGTTGATTTTTTTATGTAAGGTAATGATAAAAAGAGTCAGAAAATATGTATTGCAGTCAGAGCAGCAGAGATGAGTATAAGTGTTTGAATTAATAGAA